AAAAATATAATATACCTATTTATATTTAGTTAATATAATTAATATAATATAATTTTTAGTAATTATAGCTACTATCTGGCAACTATTACTATTATTGCCGCAAAAAATACTAATATATTTTTTCTATACAAGCTCAAAATCTACATGGTAAAATTCCCCGCAAAATCACACTATTATGCCTATCATATTTCCACAAGAGGCCCGTACAGTTTAAAAAAACGGCTAAACTAACTTCTCGGTAACCAGCTCGTCCAACCTCACAAACAGATCCATGCCAGGCTTCGGCCCCTTAACCCCCGTCGGTGGCCTCTGGGTTTCCATCAGCGGGAAAGCCTGCTTCGTACCCGGGGATGCGGGTGGCTCGAGCAGCGTGACGTCGAAGCGGCGGAGCAGAATGGCGAGAAAGGCATACGTCTCGCGCTTTGCCAGCACCCGCCCGGGGCAGTACGTAGGCCCGCTGGCAAAGGGGCGGTAGTATGGCTGGCGGGCCGTCGTCTTGTTGAAGAATCGGCCGGGGTCGAATTCGTCCACGTCGACACCCCAGAGTCTCTTGTTGGTGTGCAATACCCGCATGGGGATGATGACGGGCGTGCCGGGCTGAAGCTCCTTGCCGCGGATCACCGTCTTCTCCTTGACAACGCGCCAGCCAAACGTGTTGGTCCGCTGACGCAGTGTCTCGCTGAAGATTGCATCGAGCCGCGGGCAGTTGGATGTGAGATGCTTGACGTCCAACTCGCCCGACTGCCAAGCAGGCTCCATCTCCTCCCTCGCAATATCGAGAAGTTCCTCGTCGTACACAATGTGTGCTACAAACCAGTAGCAAGCGTTTTGCTCGTTGGCAATGCTCCTGTGCGAGGAATGGAACAGTCAGTAAAAGAAGATCCTACGTCTTGACCGTGGGCAAGTATAAGAAAATACGGGAGGGAGTGAGGCTTTCCGTCTCAGCACTCACGCGAAGAAGAATAGGAACAATAAGCCGATTCGTGACTCGTTATCGATTCCAAGTACATCCATCCATCTAAGGAGGTGCTTGAATGCGAAGCACTGCTCGCTCCGTTCTTCTTCTGGTAGATTGACAAAGGCCCGGAAAGCCGCCTTGATACGGTCGCGAGGCTCACACACTGGCGCAAGGCCAAAGAAGTCGGGCAGTCCGTAGAAGAGTATCCAAGCATGCGCATTGAACTGTATTACTTGATCTACAATGTCCGGTTCAACCTGGTGAAGATACGGGCCAAACAGGGACCGCAATGTCGCGTCCACCATGGTCCCGGCCACCAGCGAGTAGAGGGAGACTTCGCGGCGCAGGCCAGGAGCACCAATGCTGTAGAGGCAGCCGTTGTAGTCTCTGGTGCAAAAGTCGAGCTTCTCACTCTGCAGAGTCTCTTGCAGACAGCCCGAGAATACCTTGGAAAGACTGTCCAAGTTTGATGGGTCGAGGAACTGCCTTTTGTACAGATCTTCAACAAAGTGAATGAGGGTCAAGTGCCGAGGATTGGTGACGTTGTTCTCAATGTAACAAGCATCTCCCGGCTTTGGAAGGTATCTGGCCTCGTCCACAGCTTCTGGAGACATGCCAAACTTCTGCATCACCTCGGATATGAAGTGCTCGAAGTCCATGCCGTGAGTCCACGGCGCGCCGTCAAGGATGCCAGTGACATCCTCGGGTCGAGAGAGACCGTACATTGTGACGCCGCATATTGTGAAGGCATACAGCTCGTCGGTATGGCCAAAGTAGCTCCTGGTTATTGTTGCTGTGTGTCAGCAAAAGCAGCTAAAAGCTTTCAAAGTTGTCAGAATGTTGGCAAAACATACACGGCATCATCAATGAGCTGATGACAGTTGTTCAAGAATGGTTGTAGGTGGCCTATCTCTTGTCAACTCCTCATGAATAGCTTTCCCGGTGAGGGACATGAAAATCACCAATGACTTGTCGTAAAGTTAGCAGGCATTCTTCGTGGGATATGATCAGCAGCGCTGGCCTACAAGGTATCCAGTATGGCATATATCTGGGCTCCGAGGGCCAGATCCATGGTCTTAGTGTGAACATCCACAGCCGCCACAACAGGAGGAGTGTGCCACAGACAAGAAAAACCAGGGCGGCTGTTGACAGGGACAAGAAGGCAGCCGCCAACATTTCCTCGTGATGAAACAGAATCGAGAGCTTGGGTTCGGGAATAGCTAAAGACAGCAGAGGTGGGTCGATTTTGTACGGCGAAGTAGTGCGACAGGGTGATACAACAGGGCTTGGGGGTGGATACTTTATCTATAATTTTCCATTGGATACTGCCCCCTATAAACCATCGGCTAACATTGAAAGGCATCCCTCGGGTACGGAGTAAACAAGGTCAGAATGCAGCCTCCAAGCCCCTCAACACCATCGCCATCATGTGAGGCTGAGACGTCATGACGAGTGTGAGTCCCTTATGCCTATACAGATTGTCCTGATGAACAACTGGGACAAGATTATACCCGATAGATGATATTCAGCCGTGAATACGTTTCAACGAAAAAAGGGTGCTTTGCCAGGGTGGTGTTCCTCCGGCCCCCAAATACTGGGCCTTGGTGTTTCGACTAACAACTCAACAAGGATGAATGTAGAGTATATCGCAAGTGTAATAGTGTGCTCCCTAGCCCCCCTCAACAACAGTATGGAAAAGGGGCATTTGACGTGCTTGCAATGCGACGACTCGTAGATACCCGGTCGTCTAACCCTGGAATGTCCCCAGTGCGAACGGGTTGGGGGCGACATGGAGGCCAACTCATCGATTCCTTGGTGATGTGCATTGTTCCAAGTTGCTGCGGCTTCTGGGTTGACGTGCCCAAAGAACCTGGCCATTCCTGGCCATACGAATGATGGGAACAGCCGCCGATGACTGTATCAGGAAAACGCCGAGCTGATGCAGCAGTGGCTGGGTTGTCCGTCACTCTGTGCCGCATGTGCATAATGACAATAATCTCACTACATGCTCTGTACGTAATAACAAGGAACCCTGCCGCATATGTATGCATATTCTCCTCCACTTCAGTCGTTTTTGTCTACACAGACTGACCACCTACTAAGCCCATCAAGTGATTTTGCACGAAGCCAGGGGTTTTGACAGGACGAAACTGGTTCGCTGATGGCACTCGGGTGGTTCGCGCGTCTGGTCCGAAAGGATCAATCATGTATCCCGACCCGGAAATTGCGACGCTGTTTCAATATTCTCGTACGGATTACTGTCAGTGGAGCGGCACAGGGGAAAGTTTACATGGCTGTAGATGAAGGCGTGATATCTGCTCTTGCCCATGTCCCCCCTTACAGACTTCATTCATGTTGCTTGAGGGAATTACTCCGTCCCATGTATGCCGTATTCACTCCTGTTTCCTCTTGTAGTTGGACTCGTTCAGCTCCATCACTCTCGCGTAGTTGCTTCCGTCTCTGTGACTCGAGCGCAATGTTCAGCCACTCCATCGCGCACGATGGCAGCACGGTTAGACATGTGCAAGCCAGGCCCAGGATAAATACATCCCTGATCGCGTCATTGTAGGCGTACCGCAGCGCTTCAAGTACGGCTGGCGAGGAACTAAGCTGTGACAAGCCACCGGCGCCCGCTCCTAGAACATGCTCGAGTGTAACCGCCGACGTGTATCGAGGCAATGCCCTGCCCAGTCCGGTTATAAGCAAATTTTGCCCGATGGCCAGGCCGAGAGCCCTAAATGCGCCGTCTGGTCAGTGGTTCATGTTCGCTGACCTTGTTGAGGCAATACGGTGTAGGGCGTCGGCTACTGACCCCCCAAGCTGCGATGAGAAAACAGCAATGGCTGAAGAATATTTTCAGCGTCTTCGTTTGCTATGTGGAGGGCACAAGAGCTTGTACTTACCATTTCCTGTGGCAATATCGGACGCACTAGGGTTTCGTAGAAAGTCAGTGCCGCCGGAAGGACGAATAGAGAGGGAACTGCGTACTCGAGAACCACTTGTAGCGCCGTGTACGGCAGTTGTGAGGCCATGCCAACGCCAATACCTGTCAGAACTAAATAGGCCGACCACTGTGCCGCCGGCGTTGCAGGGCTGATGGTGGTCAGGAGGCCAGAGCCGACTGAGGCGATGATACCACCGGTAATCATGTATGGCACCTGTTTGTTCATTAGCCAGTTGCTTTAGCACCTTGGAGGGTCGGAGTTTCCCACGTAGTAGCCCCATCTTGATACAATGGCCCCCGTCAAGGCCAAAGTTACGATTTGAGGCACCATCATTGCAATGTACCGCACGCCGCTCTCAGTGGCTGTAGCGCCTTGGACGGTCTGGAAGAACATGGGAAGATAGTAGCCGTACTATATGTAGAAAATGTTTTCAGCCAGAATATAACAAAACGGAAGGGGTTCTGGGGCCACTCACCACATACATAACCACTCCGTAAGCAAACAGTATTATCGCTCCCATGCCCACAGAGCGTTTGCGAAGCACTCGCAAGGGAATGAGGGCCATGTCACCTTGTTTCCAATCCCAAGTGCAGAAACTTAATAACAGCACGCCGAAGCCAACACATAGACCAATGACTTGGGAGCTGTCCCAGGCGTACTGCTGCCCACCCCAAGTCAGGGCCAGAAGGAGGCAGCATACAAGGCCGAGGAACAGGACGGTTCCGACTGGATCCATACGAAAGAGCTTTTGCCGCAACGGCAATGCCTTGGTGTTTTTGGCAAAGCCCTCTGCCAGAGGAACAAAGAAGAAGACGACTACCAGGGCACAGAAGCCCGCAGGAACATTCCTAGGCCAAAGTTAGCAGAGGTCAAGAAACATCCGTCTGGACCGGGTAGAATGTCGCACAGCCAGAAGCACCAGCCTATATCTCGTCAGTTTGGAGGTGAAAACAACAGTCATAGTTTTACTTGAAGTAGAAAAGAAAAGAAGCAAACATACGCCAACTAGCATACTGTGTGAGGGCGCCGCCGATAATCGGCCCAACACATACGCTGATGCCCACGCCGGCGATGACAATGCCTTGGAAGAGAGGAACTTTTTCGAGAGAAACAACACATCCGATGATGGCGAGGGCTCCCTGTAGCAGGCCAGAGGCACCAAAGCCCAACAGAGCACGCCCAAAGATCAAGACGTCGGATGACCTGGCTGAGGCGCAAACAATAGATCCAGCTGGGGACACGCCGTGTTAGCCAAGGGGACTGACAATCTGGGGCGAGGGCCGGAATACTTTCGAAAATAAACAGCGAAGCGAGGTACACGACCTTGGCATTGAAGAATTTGTACAAGTTTCCAAACAGGGGCTGAAATGCCGTGACAGTGAGCAGGTACGAGGCGCCATACCAGGCGACAGCGGGTAGAGACTTGAAGTCGGTGGTGATGCGCGGGATGGCGGCTCCTATGATGTTGGCATCCAAGCCGTATAGGAAGGCACCTAGACATAGAGTACCAATGACGATTACCAGACGCCATGAGTGAAGGTGGTCATCTGCCGCGTTTGGAGAGGAGGACACTCGGCGCTCCAAGCTATTACCCTCGGTCATCATGGGGAGATTCCGGGCTCACATTAGTTCACTCGCAGCGATAACAGCACTTGGAGCCACGTAAAGAAGGTGATGGGAGCGGGTATAGGGGGAATAAGGTTAAACAAAACCCAGCTAGAACGGTCAAGCGCCTAAATATCGCACACGACGAACAATAAACAACAGATAATAGACAACGGACAGTAGTTCCACTCACCAGACACCAGACAGCAAAGAGAGAACCAACACTCCATGTCAGCGCACTGGGGCAGGCATGCATACCTGCAGTTACATGGGTGACTGTCCTGGGTGACATGTTACAAAATCCTTCAGATTCTGGCCCCAACCACGGCAAGCAACCATGTAGCATCACTCACAGCGGGAGCCCAAATGCGAGTCTGGCAACGTGTAAAGCATACAAGAAGCATTCGTCTAGTCAAGTCGAGAAGACGCGGCCCGCGCGCCATCGGAGGAAATCAGAGTTTCGTCGTCCATCTCGTCCCATCCTGGTCCACCACGTCTTGTATACAAGCTTCACCATCGACCGCCAAGATTCCCGTCGGTGCTGGGCGGGAAGGACCATAATAAAGAGACGAGGGCACACCTATCCGCACAACCTCTGCCCGATAAGGGTAAAATAGCTGCCATCATGAAGCTCTCGTACAACCCATCCCATCTCCCCCTCCGTCGCCAGGCAAGCGACGTGCCGGCCTCACCACCCACAACACGACCGACTCCGCCTGGCATCTCTTATGAGCTCTTCATCGTACGTCTCATGTAATTCAGCTTCTCACAAGAGATTTGCACATTAACCCCCCGACGCTAGGGCTTCCTCTGGGCAGGCGTTGCCATCGCGACCATCTTCATTGCTAGCCGGCTGTACGCCCGCATCCGCACCTCACGCCGGCTCTACCTGGACGACTTGTTCATCTCGTTTGCCTATGTTTTGGTTGTGGTCACGGCTGCCCTGTGGCAGTGGGGTGCAAAGGACATGTACTACATTCTGAATGCCAATGCCGGGCTGGTCCAAGTCGGGCCCGACTTTGTCACGCGTATGCGCCGGTTTCTCCTCGTCTCGTTCATCGTCGAGATGTTCTTCTATACCGTTCTGATGCTGTTTAAGCTGTCGCTTCTCTTCTTCTTCAAGAGGCTGGGCAGCAGTGTCGACAGGTTCAAGTATTTCTGGTGGCCTACCCTCGTCTTCTCCATGTGCACATATCTCGTCGCCGTCGGTGACATCGACTACGAGTGCTTGTTTGGCAGTCTGAAGGACATCACGGTCCGCTGCAATTCCCCCTCTGGGACGTATTTCCTCAAGGTTACGCTGGACGTCAACTGCGCCCTCGATGTCCTTTCCGACTTTCTGAGTACGTCTGCTCGCTGGTCCCAAGAGACGAAACAAGTAGAGACTGACGGCGCTGAACTAGTCATGCTTCTTCCCATTCTTCTGCTGTGGAATGTCCAGATTCGTCTGGGCAAGAAGATTGCCCTCCTTGGCCTCTTCTCCCTCTCCATCATCACCATGGCCGTAGCCATAGCTCGAGCAGCCGACATTGGCGCTACGCAAAAGTCCAACGGGTTGCCCGACAGCACGTATCTGTGGTTCTGGAGCTCCCTCCAGTCGTTCCTGTGTATGTTTACTCGCTGCCCATTGTCCGGCCTCATTGCTAACCAGTGTCTCGTGAGAACGTAGGCATCGTAGTCTCGTGTGCGGCTGCCTTTCGCCAGCTCTTTGTATCGTCGACGCGATCAAACAGCACCCCCCTTCGCAAACCAACGAGAAGTTGCTACGAGCGCATGGCATCGAATTTCAGGCCCAGACGGCGGAAGCCCAACGACACCATTTTGTACGACATGCCAAGCACCCGCCAGACGGGCAAAGGCTTCAACGCCTTCGACTGTGTCGCCATGCGAGACGGATCCGAGGCAGATTCGCAGCATAGTAGCCAGAGCCCTGTTCTTGTTCCGCGTCTAGGAAAACCGGTTGCGGCTTGTTACAAGGCCCCGGATCAAAATCACACGCAGCCGAACCACATTACCAGGGAGGTTGAGTTTCGCGTCACACAGCATACGGGCTGATATGTGCCGTGAAGGCTAGGCTTCAGCGTCAGCCCGAGTGAGAAAGAGGCTAATGGTAGACCGTGGACCATGTTCTGCTTATCCCGTTACCCGTGTGGTGTTGTGTGATGGACAGATGGTGACTTGATGAGTTGATATTCCACCCTGCAGCCATGGTAAGACACGACATGCAGCATGTACGGAGTATATGTATGTACCTTGTGCTCTGTAGCTCCCCGTCTTGGCATGCAATAAATAGCAACCAATGAAAACTGTCGGATGGTGACTTGCCGAGGAGTCAGCCGCGTTGGTTGTATCGTGACTGGGGCCGTCATGCTGCGACGTTGACGTCGACCAGGGAGGCTTACGTCGTATTGTCTGACACCCGCGCCTGGTCAAGCCGTTACATGATGCCACGGCCCAACTCGACAACATGAGAGCCCTTTCATAGGCGGCAGGGCACTCCGTACGTAGCATAGGAATGATGCGCCTGTTGGTCCACCCCGGTTGTGCAGTTTCAAATTCTGCATCCGCCATCCCTCATGGACGTGGTCAATGCCATGTGCAGTCTGGTTACAATATTCCCATGCATGTAACCCCCATATGGACCTCACTAGCAGCACCTCCATGTCCGTCCCCCCCGATCAGCCCCTCGCCTCGCCCCATGGCCCAGGTGTTTTCATCAACACCACCTTTATCTAGCCGCTTCATGAATCATCACCGTCCGCGGGCTTGTCTCTCAGACACCCTCTAGCATGAACTCGATTCCCATCGTCCTGTGGGCTTGCCTCTTTATGCTCGGCGCGGTGGCGGTGCCGTCATGCTACTCTCTGTTCCGCAATTACCTGGCCGCTCGCAAGATCGGCCTTCGCTTCCATGTCATCCCCATCAGCCACCTCAACCACTTCTGGATGCTCATTGACAAAAAGGTTCTTGGCTATGTCAAGCTCGTTTTTGGCGAGAGCGCCTTTACGCGTTACAACTGGATGGGCTGGGAGCTGCACGACCGATACTACTCCCACCATGAACTGGGCGATGCCTTCATGCTGGTCACGCCCGGCCGCAACTGGCTGTATGTCGGCCATCCGGAGATCGTCATGGAAATCGTTCGCCGAAGGGACGACTTTCCACGATGCGTCGAGCTCACTCAGGTCCTTGATGTTTTTGGCCCCAGCGTCGGCAGCGTACGTCTCCTCTTGTTGATCCCGAATGCCAAACCCTGCAGAGTGAATCCCTTTTATACATTTGGATGTTGGTCCATGGCTTGCTCAATGTACATCTAGGTCGAGGGCCAGCGATGGGTGCAGCAGCGAAAGCTCATGGCCTCGTGCTTCAATGAGCGCTACAACGAGCTTGTCTGGTCCGAAAGCATATCGCAGGCAACCGACATGATTCGGTACTGGTCATCGCGTCCGTCGGTACGAAGCACGGCCGACGACCTCCGCGGCCTGTCGCTCGGTGTGCTGGCCAAGGCCGGCTTTGGCAAGTCGTTCAGCTTCCAAGGCTACGAGGAAACGTCGCATGCCGACCCTGCGGCCAGCTACAAGGACTCTCTCCAGCTGATACTGGAAAACTGCATCCTGCTCATTGCCATGGGGCCCAAGTTCTTCACAAACACGCCCTGGTTGCCGTTCAAATGGCGGCAACTTGGAGAGGCCGTCAAGGCCTTCCAGAGGGCCATGACGGACATGTACGAGTCGGAGAAGCGCAAGGTTGCCGAGGGCACGTCTGACGAAGGTACCAGGCGTACCTTCTTGTCATCCCTCGCCAAAGCGTCGCTTGATGCCAAGCAGGGCGAGGGCCTCACGGAGCGGGAGATTTACGGAAACATTTTCGTCATCAACTTTGCCGGCCACGACACAGCATCCCATGTCTTCACCTTTGCCGTGTATTTCCTGGCGTCCAACCCGGCAGTGCAGGACTGGGTGTCGGAGGAACTCCGTCATGTGCTGGGCGACCGGCCGCCGCACGAATGGAACTACACGACGGATTTTCCTAGGCTCAAGCGCTGTCTAGCCGTCCTTTACGAAAGCATGCGGCTGTATACCCCTGTTCCCGTCACCAAGTGGACGCGGGACAAGGCGCAAACTCTAGATGTCGGGGACAAGACACTTGTCCTCCCGCCCAACACCATGATATGCCTGGCGTATTCCTCGCTACAGACTGATCCCAGATGGTGGGGTTCAGACTCGCTTACCTGGCGGCCGTCTCGCTTTATAAAAGGCGAGGGGACAGACTTGGATGCCGAAGTGTTTGTTCAGCCGAGACGCGGCACATTTATTGGCTGGTCGGAGGGTGCGCGCGACTGTCCGGGCAGAAAGTTTTCGCAGGTCGAGTTTGTGGCTACCATGGCGTCGCTCTTGCGCGACTGGCGTGTAGACCCGGTGGTTTTTGAAGGGGAGACGATGGACGGCGCGCGCAGGAGAGTCCTCGATCTTATTGACAAGGAGTCTGCCATGGTGTTGTTGATTCAGATGTTGCATCCGGAGAAGGCGCCGCTTGTTTGGTCAACGAGGGAATCGTAGCAAGCGTTGTCTCGGGATACAAAAGCAGCCAGGCGGTAATACATCAGATTCATGGCACCCAAGTGGCCTAACGCGACTACTTCTAGGGCAATGGATGGATGGTGTGACAAGGGCTCAATAGAGGGCTTAGAGCAATATGGCTCAATTCATCTAAAAACAGACTTTGGTATCAAAGGTCCTTGGTTTTCCTCAGGGCCTCGTTAACCAAAGACCTCTTTAAATACAAGAAGTCGGTGAGGGACTTTGCCCTAGGCCTCGTGACCGTAGCCCTCGTCTAACAGGACCATTTCCGTGTAACAGATGGCAACTCTTTTCCATACTGTCTGTCCACGGAAATATAAGGGGCTACAGTTGCTGTTCAAGTAGAGTGCTCTCTTTCCTGACACTGTACTTTGGAACTTTAACAGCAGCAATTCAGTCCATTGTATCTACTGAGATTTACAAGGAGTTTATGATCGATCCTGTGCTTGGTTTCTCTACTTGCCTACAGGAATGGACATGCAGCACTGCCACACTAAAAAATAGCTTCTACATGGCACAGCAATGAAATCTGATGTTGTGTAAGATACAGCCAAACATTATCTTATCCATTTTATATGGCAGGCCAGCAGTAAAACTCAGCGTTTGGGTGGCTTTCCAGCTAGTCCGGCCAGGAACGTGAAAAATGGAGAAACGGACATGATCAATGAGAAGACGACCGAGAGACTTGAATAAACGAGTGATGTATTTAAAAGATTCTCATACTGGATTTCAATTTTCCTTGTTCATTGCAGCGTCAACGACAGGACGAACTGTTTCCAAGCTCATGGGGCCAGACACGACAAGTTCCTTGTCAGCCCCGGAAGAAGAGTTCAGAAGAAACGAGCGACGCGAATGTTGAAAATGACCTGAAATAACTACTTATCAAGCTCTTCCACCATTTTCTTGACTGCGTGAATAGCAAAACAAGCAGCGGTAAGGGTAGGATTGCAAGCATTCGCCTTGGGAATGACACCACACCCTCCGAGCACCACGTTTGGATGCTTCCACATTTGGCCATACTGATTGACCACGCTCCTCTCGTCGGCCTTGTCACCGATGCCAGCCTTGTATGTGCCGCAGATATGCAGGGCAGACCCTTGGGGCATGTTCTTATGCACGTCTTCCTTGCTGATTATGGCGCCAAGTCTATTGGCCACCGTTACCATGCTACCCCGGAGTTAGTCTGGAGTATACCTGGGGGACAAGCAAACAAGGAGATTATGATATTCTTGGTAACTTACTCCGCCCGCATGTCCGCCTGTCGCTGGCTCTTGTCCTCTGTAAAGTGGAATATTGGCTGTAGATGAGTTAGCTCAACCTGAGTTTTGCTTTTGCCATGGACGCGATGAAAAAGTCAAGCCAGGAAGATGGGGGCATGCATATGCTGACCTGCGGCATTCCAAACTCGTCCTGATACTTGGGTGAGAACGTGACGTAGTTGTCGCCGTTTTCTTCGGTATACCCGAACCAACGCAGGTCTACGACTCTGCGCTGGTCAATGTCTGCAGGGACTTGACCGTAGCCAAAAGCATCCCGGTGAATCTGAGTGTGCCAGCGCTTGTTAGTCTTGCTCTTCGTGTCCGTAAATACATACGAATAGTAGCATTGGGGGTCTGGGTCGTCGGCAGGAAAGGGCAGCGGGTCGAGTTGGAAAGTCTTGACATGTTTGGCGACCTTGTCTTTCAACTCGGTCCTGAGCGCCACCCACGAAGCATTGGCTTGCTGTTCGTCTCTTTTCTCTGCTTTCTCTCTTTCAATCCAATACTTGGGCGCGGTTGTATTCCAGAAGTCGCCCCAGACTTTCGGGAGGTCCTCTTTGTTTGGCTTGTTGGTGGTTTTGGTATCTTTTACCGGACGGCGTGTAGGATTCTTGGGGTCAAAAGGCTTCTCATCAACCACAGGGGGTTGAGTCATGACATTTTCGACGTGCTCCTTCCACAACTCGACCTGGCAGAAAGCCATGGTTTGCTCCGTCAAGTTCTTGCCCTGTTTGGAGGTGTTAGCAGTCGGTATCAGGAGTAGAATAAAGGTCACCTAGGAGGCGGTCAGTCTGTAAAAGCGTACATACCAATTCTTTCACATAATATGATGGCTTCTTGTCGTCAGTTGTAAAGCCTGAATTCCAAAGGATGCCTGGTGTAAGGATAGCGCCGGCACAGATGACAAATTTGTCCGCTGTAACATTGTACACGGCGTTTGTAAGTAAATGCTTCAGACTGGCACTGACGACTTTGACATTTTTGTCCTTGTCTTCAGCCAGGTTCAGTTTGACACATTGAGTATTTGGCCACACCTCAAACTTGTCATTCAAAGTTATTGGGTCACGCTCCCAGGCCCGTGTCGGCGGCACTTTGCTATACTTGGGATCTGACAACTTTTCCCGATGTCCGCGCACGCCGGAATCAAGGATCGTCGCTGGGCACGTCCACTCGACGTAGTTTGTATTGTCCGGGCTCTTATTCCGACGGCATGCAAGGGGCATGGCCTTGATGGGACGATCATTAAAAGCCTTCTCCAGGGTATGCATAATGAGGTGCTGCCGAACCGAGTGATCAAATGCTGTTGTTGTAGTGTTGAAAAGATGCTCGGCACGATCATAATTTTTATAGACCTCCGTGAAACCTGGCTGCTGCTCGTCTGGATGCTGCCTTGGCGTGCAGCATGTCCAGTGCGATCCCATGCCGCCCACAACACGGCTTGCAGCGGCCTCGGCAAGATTTTCATTTGCTTTTTGCGCCGGGTTTTGGCCATTTCTGATATAATGGGTGGCAGGATCTCCAGTGGGAACCGATAGTGGCTGCAATTGACCCTGTATCAATGTGAGTAAACATGAATCCTTGACAGATCGTTTTTGGAACTCGTTGTCGACAAACCTTGACAACACTATCAACCAATGCCTTATATTAGCCCAGAGGTCGTCATCGTGGCTCGTACCATGGCCGGGAAGGATCCTTACTTGGTAAAGAGACTAATATCTTTTTGAACAGCAACGCTATTCTTTTTATGCTCGCCGATCCGGAACGAATCCCTGGAAAAGGAAAAAGAAGTCGAGCATGAGTATCATGGCTTGAAAATGATGGGGACATGGGAAAAATCAACTGACTGTGGTCCAACATCGACCATGAGAATCTGTAAATCTTCCCTGTTTTTCAACTGAGCATTCACGAGCTCACGGGCAAAGACGGCGCCGATAGGCCCCGAACCCACGATGAGAACATCGACCTTGACTGGCAATGCTGGCTTCTCTTCCCTTTGCTTCTGGTCGGTAGGCATTGTAATGTTATAATCCTCACAATATATGCTTTTTAAAAAAAAAAAGAAATTGAAGTTTTCAAACCACCAAGAGACCGATGATTGTAGGTTGGCGGCTCCCAGTTTGATAACAGGCAATGCCATCGACTTTATATCCGGCAAAGTCGTAGGTGTGATTATGAGCGCAAAGTGCTTGTCCGAGGAGAAAGCACAAATTTGAAAAGCTTTGGTCTTGCAACCAACATCGAAAATTGCGACCAACATGGGAAATTCAGCCAGCCACAGCCTACAAAACAAGCCTCTGTTGGACATGGCTGACGTCTTGTACGAATCTAGAATGCACATTCACTGCAGCAAACTGACTCTTCACCTAGATGCAAACCACAGAATAAACAGCTGATTGAGTGGTGTGGGCGTACATGTCCTCTGCCATGAGATGAGCTTTTACTCCGTAGATGTGTCAGAATAAGCGGCTGATAGACGTGGCTGGCCTCTTGTCAGAACTTGAAGGCAAACCTTCTGCAGCGACCTGACTCTTGTTCCAAAATATAACACGTCACATTCCTGATCCCCGCAATAAGATTCGCCGCCACGTCCAGCTCTTCCATAAATTCAGAACTCGACTCATGTATGCAGATTACATGTCACTTCGTGTTACATGCTTGCCGGCTTCTTCTCTGCCATGGTCGAGACACGGCGGTAGATGAGCTGATATTGTGAGGCGCTGACGGCAGCCTGAGTCAATATCTGGCCGACAAACATGCGACTTGGCTCTAGTCATGGGTATAGCTGCAGATTAACAGCTGCTTTATTACTACTGCCGGGCTACTGCCGATTTCTTGGTCTTATATTAATTCCTATTCTGGTATATTTTACTTTAAATAATTTTAATTATATTTATTTAAAAATATATTAAAATATATTAATATTTAAATAATTACATTATAGTAATTATACTATTATACTTTTACTTGGTACTGGCTTTATACTGTATAATTCCTGGGGCAGTAAGCCCCCCACAAGGTGCTCGACTTGCAAAGAAATACGGAGTGCAAAGTTGTACTTCAAACATTGAAGGGATATCCCCAAATGACTGCCGAGCCGAGCCTCTGGACGGGAGGAGAACCTCATTTATCTGATTACTATAGACCAACAGGCGCCGCAGGGTTACTCGGCCGGCGATATTCCCGCTGGGAGGACCCGCCCTTATCGGCATGTTACAGAGGATTGCGGGGGGTCAATGGACCAGACTCCTCGCAAACAGGCATGTAAACGCCGTCACAGCCTTGCGAGCTGCTGGCTAATCAGTGGTAGCAACTCAGCAATTCCCTTCTGACGAAGCAAAGCTTGTGGATAAAGGCTAAGAATGCGGTTAACCGGCTTGCGTCCCACAATAACGCGGCCTACGAGCGGTTAACGCTTAGCTTGCAGCGTTCCGAGTTACGAAGCTCTCTGCCCGGCGTAAAACGTAAAAGCGATAAACTCAACAGATGCTGGTGAAGATGCTTGTGGCTCGTCGCGGGCAGTATATAGCCGGCGAGTATTTTATGCCTCTTGCCACTTTGGTTACTCCGCCTAAGCGTGGCTCATCACATTCCGTGCCCAAGAATGAATGCGAGCTGTCATAAAGTCACGGATGCGCTAGTCAGCGGCACGAGCCGCCAAAGTCACAACTAGTTTCTTTTTTTGCCCGCGGCATGTAGCGCGATTAGCCGAAATCTAGTAGCAGAGTATATTCGTACGCGCGGCTGTTAAGCTAAGCACCAAATTAAACCAGACAAAGTGGCGGTATATACTGTAGATGGATAGCTCTTGAGTCGTGTCTATAAACGTTTCCGCCAGGATGCGTTTCGTGGTTCCGTGTACATAGACACAGGCTGCGGCTGCGCGATTAACATGGTATGTGGACAGATGTGTCAATCATACCCTCCAATTCAGAGGGGCGTTCGTGTCCATGCGCTATGCTAAGGCACGTGGACAAATATGTCCGATTGACAACTAATAACACCAGACGGTTGCTTGACCCCTGTTGCGTTAGACGCGGGGACGTTCACGCGGTAGTTGAAGTTCTTGAACCGATCATTGATGTCTATTATTAACCGGCCCCCCCTGCAATGAGTTCTCGTCACGCCAGAGTAACTGTTGTTGGTGCCTTGGGGTCCAGGCCACAAGGGACGGGCGCAATTTAAATTTACTCGACGAGTATTAGCTGTCAGATACATTTGTCCACCTACCTTGTCAATCCGCCGCGTTGCTCAAGATCAAAGAGAGCGAGGGCCAATTGGTCGGCCGTACCACGTGGGGCCACGGAAAGAGTCAATAGATCAAGAAGTGCGAGTGCCTCGCCTGGACTTGCGACGCCGAGGGGAGCGTGTGCCACGGAGCCCGTGCGTGGTGGTCGGAGAGCGCAAAAGAGATGTATCGTGCAGAAGAGGATGTGAAGCATGTAGTTGAGCTGTCAAATGTGCGCCCTGCTCGGTGAGGTTGCTCTCAAAGCGTCTGGTCATCCAAGGCAGCAAGATGTAGGGCGGCTCTTCTTAATAGGCCAGGCCATGGTAAGCTACGTGCGGGGTGAACAATTGGGCTGCGGATTCGGCAGCCTCAACTTGTTTGGGCTAACTCAGGCACCCCAGACTGAACTTCCCTCCTAATCGCTGAGAGACTTGTGCATTAGCGACTGGTAGGCGTCACATCTCCCTCGCGCGATACACTACACAATATGATAGCTTGACAGCAAAGGAAGAGTTCCTCTTGACATCTGAAGCATTCTCTTGACGCGAATATGGGTGATCGAGGGCTAGAGAAGTACAAAAGCCGTCCTGCCAGTTCCTTCTCCTTTATACGCTGTTCCTTCTCTCTTTTTTTCTTCCAGCTTCCAGTTCCAAGTCCCTGAGCTAGCAACTCTTATACTCCAGAGAAACAGACCGTATTACAAGGTGTGACTCTTCCTTCAGTTCCCTCATCAAGGAGGCCTGCTGAGTTCCGGTAAAATATGAGGAGACACCAATAAGAACGACAATCATGCCGAGCGAGGTCGTGAAATGCCCTGGTGGCTGTGGCAAAGATATATCATCGGCTCAGTCGAAAGAGGATTGTCCCACTTGCGCCAGGTATGAGAACGCTTGACTCGAACATTTACTCTTCACGGCACCAATTTGACATAATATGTAGCAAAAAAAAGGGTAAAGCGGCTTAGCTCTGCGACGGCGCTGTTGGGAAAGGAAGGCCAAGGCGACGGTGCATGCTTATTAAAATTAAATAGCCAAATAAGTCGCCATCCTGGACAAAATAAATCTGCGTCTTCCTTTCAACTTCCCTAGTCCTGAAACGCTGCCCCTCTCACATTGGGAGAGAACTACAACTGCTCCCCCAGTTTTTCCTTCAGCGACGGCATGTGCTGCATCTCTACTTCAACACAGTGACCCAAGAGCCACTCGCGACACCGCTCCTTGTCATCCTCCTCATCCCCACACGGAGCGCTGGGTCCTTTTCGCTTCCAATACGGCTGCTCAAACCACTCGGGCCAGAAGCCGCCATACTCCCAGTCAATGATGGCATTGATCTTGAGCGTTTCGGGGTCGACAATGACGTTGTGCTGGCCCAGATCGTTGTGACAGAAAACGTAGCTCCCCTTGTCCATACCGGGCTTCGGCTGCCAGCAACTGTGCTGCTTCCAGAACCGGCTGTGGATCCGATTGGGAGCACATAGCAGCGTCTGGCCTGGCACCCCGGGCGTGTCGGATCGGAGCGACTTGAGCGTAGCCATGTGCTCGAGCAGCTCCTTGCTGACGAGCTCCTTCTGCTCCTCGGAGAGCTGGGACATGTTGACCCCCGGCACGAGTTCGGTACTGAAGTAGAAGGCCCCGTCGTCCTCAAAGGTGTGCTGAAGCCGCGGGAGCGGGATATTTGTCTTCTCCCGGAGGTATAGGAGGATCGCGGCGTCCGTCTTCCATCGCTGAGGCAGGGAGGCGGATGGCGTCCAGTTGGCGGCCGTTGTCATCCACTCGTGCCGCCGAAGGGTTCGCTTGATGAACGAATTTCCCACCTCGTAGTATTTTTTATCTGGAGTGATTCCAGTGCAACCTGGCTCACGGTGCTTGTTCATGTCTTGGTTGGACACCATTTTGGTGCGTGCGAGGGGCAAAAAGCAATCGAAGGATCTATAAGCCAGGAGCGCGGCTGCCCTTCCCGAAGTGACTAGAGGTAGATGAACAGGTATGGCTTTAGCGAGAAAACGTCTGATGGCTTTTATAAACGCAACGACCGCGCTTAAAAATAGTTCTAGCCGACGAGGAGTAGTTGCGGTTTTTGGACGGAGAGTGATGAAGCGGTGAGCAGCAGGAGAATCTAACCACCGTGAGAGATTGAGGCTGCCTACTTATACACAGTGGCGATCACGTGGTTACGATAGAAGCACGGAGCTGGGAACCCCTATTGATATACAGTAACGCTTTGCGGGAAGGCAAGCCTCTGAGCGCTGAGGCAGAGTCTAACTACTTCCACACCTGGTGTAATGTGACATGTCTCAAAGTCTCCTCCATCAACAAAATTGCTTCCGAGCAGACGTCGCAGATAAACTCAGTCCAAAGCAAGCTAGCCCACGCGAGAGATAACGGGATGTACGGAGTAATATTACTCCGTACCCGTAAACAATCCGCCGCACGCACCTCCTCGTCGGGAACTGTATTAATACCTCGTTGGCGATAGAAAACATATGCTCCTGTAAATAATCTAGTTTGAGCGTTCTTGTCCCTTCTCTATGTGAAATACACCATGCCGCTGAGATGCTCATAGTAAGTGTAATAACTTTTATGGCTTATCATCAAAGTGAGGTTCTCGAAGCTATTATTGGATAAAAGTGTACTATAATTTGGACCTGCACCTCAGGGCTGGGGGCATTGCCTTATCTGGTAGCCGGCATGGGCACTTATAAATATTAACAGTACGATGCGAGGTCCCCCGTTCTTATATAACACAGCGTGTTAATATATTATAAACGTTAAGTTTAGCTTTCTAGGTAGATTCTTTCACTTAAAAACGCGCACGTTATTTGTCTATCTCTGGCCTAGATCGCGCTGTACTATTTTATCTATTTAAGTTTATACTGTATATACGCCCACAAGCTGGCAGCTATTCTCGGAGTCTAGTTAGCAGCTACGCTACATCACCCTATGGGGTGTAATATACACACCCAGCTAACACTAGCACAAAGGTAGCGTCTCAGACAGCAAGGGTTGGTCTGCGATTTTGGCATTGGCGTTAATATTATTGCGCTAGAGCTTAGCACTAGTCCGGAACAAGCGGAAGAGGGGAAAAAAACTCTAGCCTAACCTTAATTTAACAAGATATAACCGATATAATATAATATATATATATAGGCGGAGTAAGCAGATAATTTATATTTTTTATCCCGCGTTAATATTATTTTTATATATACTTTACTTTTTCTGAGCTGCTGCTACTCGCTGTTTATAGCTTATGAAAAAGTGTATAGAAAGCTTTTATACTCCCTCTTATTTTTTTTATAGCTATCCAGATAATTATAAAGGCCTTATTTCTTCAAGTTTATTGTATTAGTATGCAAATATAAAAGCTATATATTATACTTATATAATATATCACTTTTACTAAGTTCCTAAAGCCTTAATATACTGTGCTACCTAACATGTTCTGTGCCCGTTTCTGTTCTGATTTCCAAGTTATGACGCTCTACCTGCTACGGGCGGTAAGTCTCCTCACAGCACCTTAGAAGGTCTATTGGCTTATGGAGAAACCCAGTGGTGTAGTTTGAAGGTCCCAGAGATGGAAAGACAGACTTCTAGGGGAAGACACGTTCTGCAGAGGGAAGTGCGACAAATCTTAGCTCCGCATGTTCAAGAGGCTGTACGCCGACGATGCATCAGGTTTAGGAGCGGCGTCAAGAAATCATGAGTTGGCTGCTAGGATGGGAGAGCGGTGGCAATTAGTAGAGATGAAAACTTTGCTTCTTTGGAAATACTGATAGTTTTCAGCAGTGCCTTATTGCTAGCATATAATCGTGGATATGGTTCAACTCTGATAACCTGCCACACGGTTACACGAGGGCTACGATCACGGGACCTAGGGCAGAACACCTTTATCTACTTCTTGTAATTCAAGAGCCTTTTAGTCAACTAGGCCTTTAAGAAAACCAAGAACCTTTAATACCAAAGACTGTTATTAGCTGAATCGGGTCATGATGCTCCAAGCCTTGGGCCCTTGTCATATTGCTATTGTCAAAATTAGTCGATACCGCATCTACGGGACTTTTGCTACCACTTTCAAGGTCTTTACGATAAGAAAGTCTAAGGCTAATATGTGCTACACTATTAGCACCGTGGGCTGGCGTGGAGGATGGGTTACTTATAAAGAAGAAATGCCTTAAATGCGTCTTCATCCTTAAACTTAAAATTGCCATGAACAGTCCTGCTAGTGTCAACGCGGCACAAGAGAAAGTCAAGGCTGTGGACACTTGCGACGCTCAGGAGCCTGGGAGTAAGAATATTAAACTCGCGTAAGTCCATTTCGGATATCTCCCAAACAGTGTACGACAAACCGCAAAGTTTCAGCAATGTGTAATCTCAACGTCGCAGTTATAGTGGCCTGTTTTTAGGCCGAAAAGGTGGCCCAAACACAAACCTGATAAAATGTTTCACGCTTATAGCCTATTAGATTGGGATTGGCTGGTTGCTTGGATGTCGCTTAAGTAATTTGACCGTCGATAATGGCACGTTTTGAACTTTAAGCTGCGTCTTGAGCTGGGATGTAATTGAGCGCTTCGCTGATAGTGAGGTTCAGACCATTATAGTACCAGACATCCTCTTTGATCTTATTATTGTTGTGCACAAGCTCCCGCAGTAAACATATAGACGCTATCGGTGAGAGAAGGTGAATCTCAACTTGGAAGAGGGGGGAAATCTCCAACATTCTCAGTAGTTAACCCGAGTTTCATTTCCAACTCACGTCCCCTGAGCAGCCACTCGTTAATCTTCTGGGATTGTTCGTCAACGACAAACAATCCGCTGTCCTTCAAATACTGTGTGTATCGACAAGACGCATCCAAGCGTTGTCGAATCTCCAACTCTAGTAGCCAATTCCTGTAACTTTTAAAAAACCTTGGAACGAATTCGTGGCGGGTTTCCCGGAACATTTTAGGATAAATAGCCCTGTAGAATACACAAATAAGACTGGTGGGGTGTTGAAGGATCCGGGTCAGGGGCAGTGTCAGTGTGTGATCAGAGTCCCAGGCTTCCAGCAGCTGGTCGTAATCACTGGAGACCTTGCTCTTTGCCTGCAGGACGTGGCAAAATTCTGCATAAATGTCCTTTGAAATTCCACGGAGAGAATCAATGTCATGCCCTGTAATCCACGGTGGTGGTGTAAAAAATTGTCGAGGAACGGTACTTGCCCACTCCCAATCTATAATACCCCGGATGTGGAAGTCATCATCGACGATGATGTTGGCGCACCTCAGGTCGGCATGGGTAAGCACAAATGGCCCCTGATCCGAGTGGGAATCAAGAATCTTGGGAATCTCCTTTGCCAGGATATGGAGTGCGAACAGCTCGAGCTCTGCGGTTTCGCGGGATAGTTCTTCGATAGGCATCCGATATAATTCTAAAAGAATATCATACAGTTCATCAACGAACCGAGTTGCTGATGTGAATGTCAATTGCCGCCGTCGTTGTTTTTGCATTTGAAGTTCGTTCATTGGCATAGAACGAAAATTGCCCACAACGTATTTCGACTGACCAGTTGGATCTGGAATCAATGAGCCTACAGCATGGAACTCCAATTTCCCCAACTGGACAAATATGTCAATGAGTTCTGAGAAGAATTGCGTTCGACGTTGCTCTGTTTCGTTTACCAGACTGTGTAAATCTAGCGATCGGCCAGGGATATAGTCCATAATGAGGAATGCCTGCATCTTGGAACTGTTCTTGATGATTGAACTTTGGCCAAATGCGTGGATGCGGGGGACCGGAACGTTTGTATTGTCCTGAATGTAACTAGATGATGATTTAGTTCCAGTGTGTTAGATAGTATTTGCGATATGATAATACATATTACTATATATTAATATTACTATATTATATAATATAATAGCTGTGTTATATACTATAATTTTATATAGTTATTATATAATATTAAAATCTAAGATATAACTATATATTATTATATTA